AAACACAGAATATTTATATTATTATTTTCTCACTGGTCTCTCTTTATATAGTCAGAGATAGACTTGTCTATGACTAGACTTGTAGTCCTACTCTGGCTACCTGAGATCACTCCTCTATATGAAAATACCAGATGAACAACACTCATGAGTATTTTGCCGAAAGTGGTATGAGTACTCAACAATACCCAAGCATGAGTACTCAAAGTCGTACTCAGAGCACTTTTTACTCACTCATGAGTACTCAGGTGAGTACTCAGTGAGTAAAAAAATGTATGAGTACGTATGAGTACTCGTCCAGTTTTTCTAGCAGAGTACGTTTTGAGTACTCATACTTGAGTACATTCACTAGGGGAGTCAAAATAAAAAAGTGGCGTGAGACTTATGACGTCTACTATCTATTCAACTGATCCCAAAACACTATATTGTGACAGTACAAGCGAACTTACGTCGGTAATATAACAGACATGACAACACCTTTTATTTCGAGAGTCATATAGCAATCGCAATAACAACCTTTTTATAATATTAGAATAGATTAATTGCCATCGGAGTGTTCTAATATCACTTTACATACTAATATTTTCAAAAAGCTATTATCATGCTATTTCGTGATTTAAAAGTGGTTATTTGACTCGGTCTGTCCTTAGTAGCTCAACTCATTGTCAGGGCTGTCGCGATCAAACTTTGGGGGTGGGGGTGCTCCATTGAGACACAAATGTTTTTTTCGGAGAGCGTAAGAAAAAAATATTTTTGTTGGAAAAAATTTAATTTTTGGGGGCTTCTCGCCTTCCCCTCCCAGTAACGGCGGCCCTGCTCGTTACTTGAAAAATTTCTTGTTCCATTAAAAAGTCTATTTATTCAATAAATGATCTATAGATGCAAACGACATCTACTTAAAGTAAACAGAATGACTCAACAGTCACCAATACTGTACAACAAAGAAAGAGTCGTAAAACATAAAACAGCTGAAGGAACTTTGTATTATAGAAGAGAGATTTCCTTCATATGAGGCTAAAGAGTTACCTTAGAATAAATTATTCATAATTAACCTGTCAGTGAAATTTTAGTGCTGATGAAATGAATTGTTGTTGTCAAGGAATCTATATGTTTTATTGAGATGTATACTTTAATGATGACATATGACGTTTGTTCGAAAAACATCAGACTCTATCGAAGATTTTTTTGCCGTTCGATTCTTTTTTGAAAATGCACGTGATTTATAAAACTTACATAAAGAAGTAAAATGTTATTTTTTACATTTTTCGCCGTAACTTTTTTTGGGTATTTTCCCACTTAAAAATAGAAAAGAGAGAACAAAAAGAACCTAACGACAAATTTGCCAGGTTGACAAAAATACATTTCTATATTTTCAGAACAGACAGAATTTGTTCAAAAATCATACTATTTGCTCCCTTTTTTTTATAATGGCCACACACAATCTTTACAGGTTAGTTTCTGGAATAGCCAAGTTCTGTCCGACTATTTACACTAGAAAAAGTTCCAAGATAACTGTAATGCTTTTTTTTTGAAATATGCCTTTCTTTTTTAGTAATCCATTATCATCCACTGTCAATGGGGATAGCACTGAAAATGATGAACTAATTGCACGTTTATTTCAGGAAAATTTGAAGTAAGTTGCTCTTTGTATTTATTGTTTAACCAAATTATTCTGTTTATTTACTTATAGTGATCATGTATTGAAGGATTCGCTAAATATTAACAAACCAAAACAATTAAAAAAGAATAGTATTATTGACATAGAAAAATTTCAAGAAGTACTAAAAAATGTTAAATCGTGTGAATATCGGACGTCAGCAGTTGAAGCTACACGGCATGATGATCGATTAGAACAAAAGCAAGAAGAAACATTTTCAAAGAAAACGCACAATCAGCAATTGTATGACGATGGTGACCTAGCATATTTATTACAAATCGAAGAAATTTTAAAAACTGAAGATAAAAAAAATCAAAAAAATGGATTACTAAGGCAAGCCAAGAATTTTGTTAGTTTTTTTAAGTCTTCTGTCATTTATCTATTTTTTTTTAGTGATATGGAACGAAACAAAGTTGCAATGGAAGAAACATATTCGTCAGTTGTACAAACGTTACAAATGGATGGAAATGTAAATACACTTATGTTAGTATGCTTTTGACAGATCGCAGCGCAATATCAATGAGTACTTAAATTTTAAAATTCTAGAGGACGAATAAACGGTATAATGACAATTATTTTCGGGCGTTTTACGAATTTTCAAAACCAAAATAAAGTATTTGAAAACTAGCATTTAATGTCTTTCGGAAACTAAATACTTTATATTTAGGCATTGATCGATCAAGTCAATAAATTTTCGAAACATGTCTTTCCTATTTTGATCACTGCTGCTGGTACAAAAGCTAAAACTCCAACTTCAAATCCAGTGATCTTATTGCTAGGATTAGTCATAGGTAAGCTATAATACTGCTTTTTTAACTCAAACCTAAAGACAAATAAATTAATCAAATTCTCTTACTCAAAGCTGTTGCACGAAGCGAACTAAGTATTGATGATGGAAAGCAAATAATGCAAAATATTGCAACAATGTGGACACAAGCATCAGTGTGGTACGAATTTTTTGAACAATTATTATATCTATTTGTGGCCGTCACAATGCCGATGTTTGGACAGACAGCTATGCAGAAATTCTTACAGAAAATAGACACGTACACGAAGAGTGTGACACCAGCAACGGTTCCAGCTAATACTTAATTATTTTATGTTTCTATTACATTTAAATCGTCAACTTTCATGTATATTAAGCTTAATTTATTCTCAATTTTGTAAAAAGTATTCTTTTTCTAAATAGTTTTGTTGAGTAAAAAATTCTTCCATTAAATGAATTATTGTTTCATAATGACTTGTTGCGTGACAAAACTAACTCCGATCTTGATAAATTATGGTCTTTACGGGTTTGAAGACATGCCCTTTTGAATGACCGCCTCGAAAAAAATTTAAAAAATAACCTTATAGGGTTTCTGGAAAATCATGATTTTCTGTAGAATCGAATTTAGGGAGCAATCTTTTTTATTGGAATAAAACAGTATCTCAATCGGGTCGGTCGAAAAAGAAGATTTATATCTAGGGTCCTGCGGGACAAACTTTTCTGTTACCCCGAGCCCGAACATGAAAATTTTTGTCCCGCCCCGTAAGCCCGAGTTCGTGAGCAACTAATGTTGTCCGAACTTCATCGGTTCCACGAACAAAATTTACGGGTTTTTTATCCCGTATTTTTTTGAAAATACTTTTCTGTTGTGATAAACTGTAACTGTTACAAGTCCCACGGGACGGGACAGACGGGGTGGATTCGGGGCTGTTTCGCATGAGTCTACTTATAGCTACATAATGAGAAAAAAAATTTCGAGAAATAATCATTTTTCGATTTGTAAAATTTCACGTTTTTGAAAATTGAGCCCCTGACCTATAAACATAAAATAAAATAAACTTTAAGTATACCACTAGAAAGAGCTTGAAAAACTAAACAAATATAAGGGTTTATCAAAGTTTAAAAATATGATTCTAGTAGGATTTTGAGGGATTTCTATAAATCCTTTTAAAACTAACACGCTTTTTGAAGTTTTCAACGAAGTTACTTGGATAAAACGTTTTTCCTATGCTCAAATGAATTTCGAGAATGTTGCTCGTACAATTTGGAATTTTGAAGGTGTTTCAAAAGGTTTTGATGTTTTTTGATAAGAAAAGCGCAAAAGTTCATAGCTTCGTGTCGATTTTTTGTTTTTTGTGTGATGTTTCACCCTTTTTATCCTGTCTCGCGGCTATAGCTCGGACAGAGGTTAAGCTATTAGTATATGTGATCTTTTATAAATGAACCAAGATAAATTTAAATAAGCTTTGTTACGCACACTTCTCAATGGTACATCTGATCAAGATGGTAAAAAAAGAAAAAAGACAGCGTGCGTCCTTTATATATCGTTCTTTTCTGTCCTGGCGCAGTCTATTCGGGGTAGGGCTGTGACAGTTACCAGTTACCGTTACCACCGTTACTCGGTAACGGTAACTGCTGAACAGTTCCCGTTCCTGGTAACGGTAACGGATAAGCAGTTACCGTACAAGTAACGGTAACTGTTCAGTATATCTTTCAAGAGTCAAATCTCTAAATATCTAGGTATCCAGGGTGAGGGTGAAAGTTCGTAGCTTCACCCTCACCCTGGATACCTAGATATTTAGAGATTTGGCTCTTGAAAGATATACTGAACAGTTACCGTTACTTGTAACTGGTCGTTACCGTTACTTGTACGGTAACTGCTTACACGTTACCGTTACAAAGAACGGTAACCGACCAGCAATTACAGTTACTGTAACGATAATGGTAACTGTCACAGCCCTAATTCGGGGCTGTTTCGCATGAGTCTACTTATAGCTACATAATGAGAAAAAAATTTCGCGAAATAATCATTTTTCGATTTGTAAAATTTCACGTTTTTGAAAATTGAGCCCCTGACCTATAGATATAAAATAAAATAAACTTTAAGTATACCATTAAAAAGAGCTTGAAAAACTAAACAAATATAAGGGTTTATCAAAGTTTAAAAATATGATTCTAGTAGGATTTTCATACATGTAAAATGTATCTTTTTTGACCAAAGTTTTAACATTTACATTTGTTTCTACAGGCCTAATACTTTAAAAGAGGCATGGGCACACGCACACTAAGTTCAAAAAATCTCTTTTGTCTGCATTTGTTTTCAAATGCGTGTGTATGGAAAGTTGAAACCATCTGAATAAAACAAAATATTCCATTCGAACACATACATGTCATGTGTAGTACGCACAACATTTTGTGTACGGTATATTCTCTCTCATGGAATTGAAGTGTAAAAATTTACACATACCCATAGATTTTTTATAAAATAATAACTATTAAGTAAATATAAATATTAGTTAAGTTTACGTGCATATAAACTCGTTCAGTACATTTAACATTCTCTGTAACTTATATCTGAGTTCGTGAAAACGGTCACAAATTTAAAATTTTTAATTTTAATATTTAGTTAGTTAGTTAATTTTAATATTTTACCGAAAATCGACTTGAAATCGACCGAAATCGACTTGACGCAGTTCCAGACATGAGAATCCAATTGTCAGCTATTACGCCAGATATAAAAAGAATTTGCCAAAAAAAATATTTTTCATTCTTCTCATTAAAAAGTATGTAATTTACTTGTGTTTTTAAAGATAAATATAATAAAAAATGAATCAAACACCCTCTAATTATAATTTTATTAAATAATCTATGTTTTCCGATATTTTTGTAGCTCCATATTGTTAGGTATTATGCATGATATTATGTCAAAATACTACTGGGGTTCCGCAAAGTTTTAAATTTTATGAAAGGGTTCCATGGCTAAAATAAATTGGGAAACGCTGGTGTGGAGACATATCCCGATCAGGATATCAAAAATTTGTATGTTTTGGAGGTGAGGATGATGATATTTCATTGATTATATCTATTTATTGATCATGTCTATTTGATTTATACACGGGCGACATAAAAACGAACAAGTACAGTTAAAAAGTTTTTGTTGATTAATGTAATTTCTTACTTCCACATTAACATGTTTCTCATCAAATCTAATTAGTTTGAAAGGGATGTTGCCGTGCCAGGCAATATGAGTATAACAACTCATATTGTTGAGCAACGCCTGGAATGATGATGTTCTCCTGGCATCTTCAGAAATGCTGGCTTCACGACTGATATACGGTCGATGTGGAAAGCGATCAGATCAAGAGTATATCCCATTATGAGTAACCATAGATTAACCGCCTATTTTCCGATCGGGATATAAATTCGACTAAAATTTGTTATAGGTTTTTGTTCGAAAAAATAGTTGCTGGGTGCTTGATGCACTTTTGATCAAACATAACAGAATCCGATGTAGTTTTTTGAGCTCTTTCTAATGGTGATGTCAATTTTTCCCCAAAACGGCATTATTTTTCCCTTAATCGTTTTTACGACGAAATTTCGTGTTTTATATCCCGATCGGGATATTAATTTTTTTCTATATCCTGATTAGGATATAGGAGGTGTCCCATTACTGACAGTAGATAGTTAAAATAGATATAATGACGATCAGGTTTGAGTATGAATCATTATGAAATCACGAGACAGGGATCGATCTACCAAGATCTTGTTTAGAAACACATTAGTGATATCACTTTGGCAGGACTCTATCTAGCATACAAGCCACTTTTGATGAATGAGCTCACACCTTTGTGGGGTTAATATATGTGTATAGAAAGATAGGAATAACAGTACTCAGCATTATTTTCAACGTGTAAACAGCCGATTTTTGAATTAGGTCTTAGTTTACTAGAAAATCAAGGATCTGTGGAAAATCCGAAAGGGGTTTTTGAGGATCTTGGACCTCTAGAAAACGAACAAAGACCTAAATCAAAAATCTGGCCTCATCAGTCCACGCAGTTAGGTGTCTAGTTTAAAATAAAACCAACCCGAGATCTCTAGCTTGAAATATATTTAAAAAGGTGTCCAACACTGGAGGATGGTTTTTTGACCTTGAACTCTGGAAAACCCTGGAACGCTAAGAGCTAGACGAGAACAAAAAATTTCATAGCCACACTTTGATATGGCAAATATTTGCTGAAAGCGTCATCAAAATCGGATGTAAGACAAAAAGTGTTTCTTCTGTGTGTGGGGGGGGGGGGGGGGGGTAAAGCAATTGGGCCTGGCCGCCCACATATTTTTGAAAGATTAAACCCTTGAGACTTTTGGCAATTTTTTTTGACAGGGNCCCCCCCCCCCCCCCCCCCCGCCCCCCCCCCCCCCCCCCCCGGCTTAAAGCAATTGAGCATGACCGCACTCATATTGTTCAAAGATTACAACATTCATACTTGTGGCATTTTTTATTGACAGTCATAATTCATAAATTTAGGAGTATAATTTCTTTTCACACAAGCGTTGACAAGACAAGAATGTTGATCTTGTCCTTCACAGCACTATTTCTTCTAATATCCTGATATCTCACATTGGTTTTTTCAGATTAACAAAAGTTTACCACACAGACTTTAAAAACTTTCAGGGAGAAAGGAGAAAAATTTCAGAGGTGAGAAATTCCAACGCTTCTCATCCTGATTGTATGCGCTGACTAAAACAAATCGCTAAAGAGAAATGGATCTGTGATGAAATTAACATATCAATAAATGATTGTCTCGTACTCAGGTATTAGGTTCGAAAGCTATTCTAGCGAGTTACTATACAAGAATATCTCCAGGCTATGTAACTTTATTAAAGAGACAAATAAACTAGAATTTTCTTTCAATAAGAAAAAATACGTACGAAATTGATTTTACGAAATAACATTTAGCACATTTACACTAGGACAAATAAAGAAAACAGATTGTACAACAAGAAAGAGCTACTATTCTACGATTGTTTATCTCGTTTTTTCAGTACCGGATTTTGAAATGACAATGAACGACGTTTCTAAAACACAAACAGATATAATAAGTGGAATCTAGTTGATTATAGTTCTGCATTGGCAGTCTCGGAACTTACACAAACACTAGCACGAACGAAATTTGTTGATTCAAATAAATCAGATAAACGACCGATTGTATGTGCTGTGGTCGTTATTGATGATGATAACTGTGGTGTGAGATTATTGGATTGCTGAAATAATTAAAGAGATTCTGCTCATTGTCGCATACAAAAGAGATCAAAATGAGAACCATTGTGAGTCAGATAGTTCACTTTGAAAATAATCAATACATCATTGTCTCAAAGGGAGACTCAAACTTGTGATAATAACTGATTGTATGTGCTTTTCAGTTATAAAGATACATTTGCATAGGATTAAACAAGAAGAATTATTTTTCTTACAGTTTTTGTAGAATCAATCAAACTGTTGTTACTGAGACTCGCGTGTAATTGCCCATTCTCATTGATATTCTTTAATCGATGTAAAGATGTTTGTAATTCATATTCAGCAGAATTTAATGCATTTTTCAGGTCAAATAATAAAACAATATCGGAACGAAGATCATTGAATTCTTCACATATCTCTTCACAAGCCATTGGATTACGTTCTAAATATAAAAATATGACCAAGAAATAACAATATAGCACTATCTTTTTATATTTACCTAACTGACATTCTCTTAAAACTTGATCTATAACAATAAGTTTTTTGTTTGGTATCGAGGATGGTAAGTGCATCTAAAGAAAAAAGAACTGCATTCATGTAAAACTCATTTTTATGATATCTTTTATTATTTTGAATTACCCGTTGACTTTGAAGGAAAACGCCCGGTCGTTTAAATTCTGAAAATTTAATACCAATATGTTCAGTTGTTGGCTGAAATTGAAACGTTTTTCACTAACAACATATTTGACTAACGGTTCTAACTTACTCCTCTCGCTGTTGTAACGTTTTGAGTTGAGAATGTTCCTCTATCTTTTTCACTAGCTAAATGTCGGAGATCGGTGGTAGTCGATGATTTTCGTTCCGATAACGTTACTGTAGAACTCGTATCCATAGGTGAGATCCGTGGTTGTACAGATTGCAATGTAGAATCGATTTCTAAATGATTGTGGTTATTCATCGTTGTTGCAAACTTTTGAACATCTTGAGATATAATACGTTCACGCTCTTTTCGTTCACTTTCGATTCGTTTCAATTCTTGTGCAAGATAATTTTCATCGTTTTCCTAGTAGAAAAATATTCTCAGTCTCAATAAATGTAAACATTGCAATGTTTACTTCTTTTCTTGTTCGTGTGTATAATTTAATTAACTGCACTTTACGTCGTCGTTCATGATCAGCATCATAATTATATTGTCCAGAATGACGACCAGTTCGTGCCTAGGAAAAGTCAACGATCAACATACTATTCTCTCTTTCTCTCTCTCTTTCAACTGATTTATTAACATACACATTCAAGATTTTTGCAAATACTATAATATCTTTCTTTGATATCTTCAACTGATCGCTCTTTGTATTGTGCATCATTCCAACGATCACATATAATAAAAAATCTCAAATCAAATTGTTTGCACATATCTAATAAATAATCCGTTTCGTCTCGAGACCAATCATTTACTTGCAAATATTGTTCATAATCATTGTCTGTGTAGGATGGAATATCAACATGCTAGAAAAAAAAAAGATGAAATTAAGTTAAGAAAAAGATTTTATATCTAAAAGATTTATAGATATAAACATACTTTATTAAATTTAGCAAATGGATATTCTTGATGTTGATCTGCCGTGCGTTGCCAATGACTAAGTTGAAGATTATCTGTCCGACTTGGATTATTAAATGAAATCCATTGCCATGAACGAACTTTCATTGAAGAATGTTTCATCCAATTTGCATACGTATTCCCGCCGTGCATTGTGTCCGTTGGTACGAGTGGAACACTTTCTCTAGAAGGAAAAAATGTATTGAAAATAATCGACTCTTTTTTTTAAATCAATTTTATTATGACTGTAAGTTTACCTATCATCTGTTGCAATCAAATCCCATACCTCACGTTTCATACCTTCTGGTCGCCGAATTATTTTTTTCTTCTTCTAGATAATTAGAAAACATTCATTAAATAGCTGATTTATCAGTCTGAGATAATACAAAATTTCTACCTTTTCACGTACGACTTCATCTTTAATTGTTCTCGAGGATGGAGGTGTTTCTTGTAGGATATCGAACACGTCGGAACTAGTCATTTTATCTAAACTACAATGTAATTTAGTAGAGTAACTAAATTACATAGCACAATCTAAAACATCAAGTTTAATTCAAGATTTTGTCTATATTAAGTTTAGAAAGAGAACAAAAAGTATATCATGAAGTGGACGTGAAAACTTTTCACATTTATCTCCAACTATTCCATTTATCAAAATTTGATGGAGCACTTATCCCTAGTAAATGTGCAAAAAATCGGGTACCTATTGGGCACCCTGTTATAGTAATGTCATAGGTACTCGGCTTCCTCAAGCAAAAGTATTTAGGGAACTTTTAAGTCTTGTTTTGGATACCTCTGCTAGCCTCAGTCAAGTATTAAAATGTCTAACAAATAATTTTAGATACTTATCCAAGTAATGTCATAGATACTTAGACATCCTTGACTTGCGGCAGTCAAAGTTCTTAGATATCCGACTGCAACATTTCAACCAAGATTTATTCCACTATAAAAGTTACTGACTAGTATCAAACTAGTGGAACTACGAAACTGGTGAGTGTTTGCGAAATCCACGGATGTCTGAATCTGAATTGAGTTAAGCGATGTGCATTTACCACACGGCGAATAAAGAAGAATGATTGTTGATGAGAGTATGTTCCAAACCCTACAGAACTAAACAACCAAACATGAGGCTTGTTTCACAAAAAAACATACGTAGCACTTAAGTTTGAGCCCTCAAATTAGCGTTGCTAAAGTGCGTATATGTAGTTAAATCTTAGATTAAGAGTATGAAAAAAATTTACTTTTACTTTAAGCTACATCGAAGTAATCTTAGATTAGAAATGACTAATCCAAATGTCAACTTAAGTGTCCGTTACATTCACATCAATATATCGTGAATTGTGCATACGATTTTAACAAAATTTTCCAAAATTATATATATACAAAAGAACCGTACAACTGTAGTGCATTTTTTATTAAAATCTTGCCGTTGTCGTAAATAAGTTCTTGTAAGGAACTACTCAAGTCTTTTTGAGACACCTTTTTGATTAACTGAAGTGTAAAAATTAGATTATAATCACCTTAAATCATTGACTTAAGATATTTTACGATACAGTATCCTGCCTGACATGCGACTACGATACGTTAAAAGTAATCATGCAACATTTCCCACAAAATCTTCCAAGATCTATTGTTTTCATGTGAAATCTTTCTTCAAGATTTGATATCGTAGAGTCACACAAGATCTTTGTACGTCTTAGGTCATAGTTTGAAAAAGTTAAAAGATCATGTGAAATTTGACACGATACTGCTCAGACGGCTCACGCCCAAAAGAGATAATAGTTCTTAATAGTTCTTTGTGACTCACTTTCATGTACGCCGCCACCGCCGCAGCCGCTTCTGTTGTTATTATCTCTTCTGGGGGTAAGCGGTTCAGACTGATGTCACGATAATTCAAGTGTAGAACATTGTCCTGGATGTTGGCCATTCAATTTCCGGTCGAATTAATACGGTCGAAGACGTCTGTTTTTCTTAAGATGTTTATTATTAGACATAACAACCTAGCTAATGGCTAATGACTAAAAAATTTGTAAATGAAGAGAAAAGACGTCTCACCGGACCGCAATCATGTGATATGACGAATCTTTGATTTCATCTACCACAAATAGTAAAATACATACTAAAATTAACTATTTTGTCGGAGACAGTTATACCTGAGCTGTACATGAGTGGCGTTGTACTGAAGTATAAATCATAACATTCAATGGTCTCTGACTGTCCTGCACGATATTCTTAAGTGATGTACCACGGACTGAAGACATAGTGGAAACATATGCATAATCCTGTAAGAATTCATATCGCCATTTCTACGGGACTTTTCTGAAATTTTGGACTAGGGTATGATCCTCGAAGCAGGAGGACTTGCATACTGCTGGTAAGTAAATCTATATCACATCGGCAATAAGCCAAGAAGTGCTTTATAGACAGACATTAGAGGATTTGACACTTATTCAAACAAGAGAACTAAAATCTCGTCTCACATCCACAATACCGCACTTTCATTTAAAAATTGACTTAGATAAAAACTACATCATCAAATATAGCGTAAAAAGTGAATGCAGTATTCTATTCAGATTTGATATCTCATATTGTTTATAAAAAAGGCAACAGCTTTCAAGCAAGATCAATACATGCAATAATTCAGAGTTTTTTCATACATGCTATAAATAAGACCTATCTTTAAACTATATTTACTGTGTAAACTGGAACGTTCACCATTATTTCTTTCTTATATAATTGTTCTCGTCTAAGCCTTCTCCTAGATCGAAAGATTATTATGATACTCATATTTTGAAATTTGTTAACCAGATACTTGTTAATCTCATGCATGTGGCTCTCATTTAAGAAAGGTTCAGCTTCCGCGCAAGATGTGAGCATCAATATGAAACGGGTGCGATAGAACTAACTACTAACGATTAATAAGCATCTTGACTATTGGAGGTTATAGCTATTCTTTACAGACTTGCAGATAAATGTTTAGATCTAATGCTTTTATTTTGTATAGAATTAGTTAATTATAATCAACTAATTAAGTTTATTCACCATGTACTATCTTATTACTCTTCTTTAGATTACTTTGCATGTGATTTAAATTTCTTTTTTTGAATTTTAATTATTTCGTGTTCAATTAATTTTTATGTACATTGATTTTATACGGAATAAAAGCATTAGATTTAAATATTTTGTATCGTGACTGAGCTCTGTTTTTAATCGCGCTTAGAATTTTCTCAGAAATGAATTTATATAAAAATTATTTCTAGCAGAAATGATGTTAACGGTAATTTTAATGAAAATGAGAATAGATACAATTTTTCTGGGAAATACTCTACACCAGAAAAGTGGTTTCTAATAATCCCATCGTGAACATGTGTTAATCTTATCTCATTAACTTCTATATTAGTCTGTATTTTTTAAATTTTTTTTCTAGTCGAATATTTTCCTATGAACTACATAAATTAATGAGAATTAATTACACGTAATAATCGTCAGACCGTAGAATATGCTAAAAAATTAGTAAAGATTCACTTTGTAGGCGAATTTTTTCTCCTTACTTTACAACGCTCGTGACTAATCATTTTTATAGCATAAAAAATAGCATAATGAGATAGTACATTTGAACGAAAATAAATGACTTTAAACTTCCCAATCTCTTCGCGATGAAACACCCTCCTCTCATTGATTCAGGTATGATGCTGAAATGTCGCGATCGAGCATTCTATTTTCCAATAATTGTAGATTTAACACTTGCTACATCTATTCGTCTTATATAAAGTGTTTTCGTTCTGATTTTACTTTCTAAATAAACAATTCCAGATAGACAGTAATCCTAATGAATATTATACCATTCTTGATAAATCGACGCTACGACACGTTACTTGTTTATTATTTCACTCATAATATTCAATCTATACTTTGATTAATTGTAAATAATGCATACACTTATTCATGTCGAATAAGTAGCATACTTCTTCTTAAAATTCAATTGATAAATATTTTATTTCACTTTTAATTGATAGACGTCTTCTCTTCCTTTTATCCATCAGTTAAACTACCATAATTATTGACCACCTTTCCAGTTCGCCGACTGTTACTAAAAAGAAGCACGAACTGTTAGCTAAAGTAAAATGATAAAAGAGGAGATAGATGCTAGGGCGATAAGGTGTTCCACCAAGAATTGTATCAGATAAGAATCACACATTAAGTGACTCGATAAAATATCTTACACAAGTTGTATTACCTGCATCGTATAATCCAACCGTTTTATCGTACAATGCTTCATCAAAATAATGGCTGGTACCAAATGCATCCGCCTAAAGTAATAGAGAAAGAAATTGTAAAAGAAAAAACGAAAAAAACTTGAGCTACTACTATTCAGTACTTTATCTATCCTGATTTAAAGCAACGTTTATAATTTCAATTTTTAGATAGTGAGGCTCTGATGATGTTTCAATTATGACTTCAACGTCAATATGAACATTGAACAATTTTCAACTAACGTCATTAATTGTTGCAAACTCTTCAATAAGTATAAACGTGTATTGTAACATCAGCGGTTTAGGTCATTATTGATAATGGTGTAGAAATATCAACAAACAGAGGATCTTTCGAATAACTGCCACCAGCATTTCGCTCGTCCATGTATAGATACTGCAATTTTTTTGTTTCTCTTGTATGATGTTCTTATTTGTAAGAACGACAAGCATGTAAGAAATATCCTGATTCTTCTATTATAAAACGGTGTATTTATTATTCTGTTGGATACTATTGACATCAATAGTTTTCTATCGACATTTCAAGTTGCAATCTTGCTTAGAAATTTAGACATACTA